AAGAGTAATAACCAGACCTGCTGAAAAATCCAATAAATTAAATGTTGCTATACGTTATACAATTAAAATCAATTAAAATCATTATAAAATTAATTGAAACCCAATTAATGAAATAATTGCAATTAATTGCAATTAAATTCAATTTTCTTTCACTGATGTAACCCGATTTTTTAAACAGTAAAAAAAATCAAATGCGAGATTAATCTAATTACATAAAATAGTAATTAATTGACCAATTGTGGTCGCACCACCAATAAATTAATTGAGCTTGAAAAATTGCAATTAATTGCCTCTACAATCATTTATTCAGTGGGCCGAATGATAACCAATAATGACCTGTTCGTATTTTATGAGGTAAAGTGGATCCTGCTGTTCCTTAACCCAAGCAAGATATCCCTTGACGGATGGGTTTAAATGGTTTTTTACATATGGCCATAGAAGTTCCATAGCCATTGATTGACGATATATAATGCAAATAGAATCCCACGACTTATGATGATCAGTACATTTTTTAAAGTAGGCGAGTTGATTTTCTGTTCGATAACCTTGACATATTGCAAATCGTCTTAGATCAATTTCCCTATTAAAAATTAAATGTATTAGTTCTGTAGTTAAAAATACATATATAAAATAAATTAAAATTAAAATAGTAAAAAATAACAAATAAAATAAAAATAAAAAGTAAAAATAATAAGTATAATAAACTGCAAGATATCAATGTTAAATGATTTACCAGTTCAACTCTATATACGCATGAAGCATATTCATCTCTTCGTGTAATTGCCCAGGTACTAGAACCAACCAAGGAAACTTTTCTTTCAACTTAGTAGCAAAGCGGTATGGGACACCGTCACAAGCTACTACTACCCACTTACGAATTCCATCCCTAATACCCGATATTTTCTCTATATGTAAGAGGACTTGTTCAACGCTTGCGATAGAATTAGGATTAACATTAATCGGGTCAGGAATATAAATCTCGGGAATATTAGCTCCTTGATCAGTAAATTGCTGGGTAAGACTAATATCAGGAGTATATGAAACATTCTGCTCATCGTTTATTCTATAAGGTTTAAAGATGAGTAAATTAGTTAGCTGATTAGTTATATTATTGTCAATTTCAACTCCCTTCTCTTTTTGAATTGCAGTCAATGTCAGCAGTTGTGTTTTACAATTAGGGCATGTTTTCTTTTGATTCTCAATATTTTTCAAATCGCAGTTAGGGCAAATTTTCATCTTGGTAACGTCAGTTGGCGCAGACGCTACAAGGGAATCGATAATATTAGTAGAGGATTTTTCCTCAGACAATAACTTAAGAATATCAGCCAAGTAAGTATATAATTCCTCGTCAATGACTTTTTGCATTTGGGGACTAACGTCAAAAAGTTCTTCGTATTGCGACCTACTAAGAGAATTATATGCCCAAGGTGAATTAGTATGTTGAATTTTGTTTTGAGATA